GCTGACGCTCACTTGCACCAAAATCCAACTCCCCGCCTATGGTATACTGCCGTGCTAAGGAAAAACGCCGTATCAACCTTCAGGCATTGCCATATTTAGGATTGAACGTGTCTAAAAAATACCCAAAAAAACTAGTGTAGCCAAAAGTGATAACTTGCCGAGGTACCAAAATGTGAAGCGTGACGACAGAAAAAAATGATGAGAAAAGATAGAGAGGTTTGAATGAAAAAAGAGAGAAGGGAGGAATTTGAAGAAGGATAAATGAGAGACAAGTGAAAAAAGCCGCGGCGAGCCCAAATTGCCTTGGCTTGGAAATTTTTGGCGCGTTAGAAAGCTGAGAGTAGTGGATTTTTAACGCTTCTTACATATTTTCTTTATCTATCTTAGCTTAGGAGATATTGAATTGGTGAATTTACTTTCTGGACGCTCGTAAATTCGTCGAAATGTTGTCTGCAAATAACCTCATTTTCACATGTATATGCTTCAGCCAAGCGTTCAGTTCAAGCTAACGTCTCCGTTGTAGAAAATGATCAAAATTGATCCAGTTTACAGGCGTATCGATCAAAATCCAAAACATGGACACTCATACTTCTGGAATCGGAGGGACGTATATTTTGAACTCAAAAATCAATGGTGTATCTCAAGTTTCTGTAAAGGACTTAGATCGAAAATTCCTCGTAAAGGTCAAAAGTTTTCATTTTGTCTTCGCAAAAAGATTTTTTTGGGGGGGATGCAATATCAGGAATCAAGAAGGACGACTTAGGTCTTGTAGTGGTTACCGTTTTAGCTACGCCTAAGAAAGCACCTGTGAGATGGCATGCCTGAGAAATTCATGGAAAAGTAATTTGTCATTTTTCCAATGTAGGCCCGGACTAAGAAATTACTGAACAATCCGGAAAAGTTATGGCCCAAAGCAGCAGTCATTTTCAGAATCGATGACGATTTAAGTAAGTTCATTTTTGTTTTTATTTTGTGTAAGTTTTAGCACGATGAACCATTTTATACAGATGAACCATTTCATACAGATCAAATCCCTCCCAATCTTTCCCCGCCCTCCTTTGAATTGGAGACAAGAAGACTTCGTTTGACGAAAACTTACGTTTCATGTGTTGATACCAATTATATATAATACAAATTAATTAATAAATAATTGATTAATTAATTATTCAATTAATTATATAATTATATATTATATAAAAGTATTATTTATATAAGATGCTGATCGTCGTTAACTAAAACTAACTAACTAACTAATTATATATAATTATTATTTATATATAATTATATATTGCTAAATACTTTCGCGGGAGCTTTCCCGCACAAGAAAATGACTTAAAAGGTTAAAAGTTAAATTGTTCACTCACTTGAATTTTTTTTTAAATTATTTTTTTATCTGGTTTCACTCAGCGTACTGACCGAAACGCGTCTGCGGAAAAATAGTTAAAAAAACGTGCAAGTGAGTAAACAATTTAACTTTTAACCTTTTAAACAAAAATTGCTGTCTGGAGAAAGATAAAACGACGAAATGCCGGAGAAAATGTTGTTATTTTTTTTTTTTTTTTTTTTTTTTTTTTTTTTTTTTTTTTTTTTGGAATCACCCATTCATTTCATCAGCTCCAATCCTCTCAAAAATCATGAGAGGATGAAAATCTTGAGGCAATTTGTCTTTCAAACTCTACCCTAAAAACATTATTGGGATCAATCAAGTCGATTTTCACCTTATTACAAGATCAAATAATCGTAGAGTTGTTTCGATAAATAATAGACAAACTCATTCAGGAGATTATGTCGACTAGTTTTCCAAACAATATAAAGTTTAGTGCGAAACCTGCTAAGTCGCCGGGGGAGATACTTATAGTTTCGCACGTTGGCTATCGGTATTTAAACGTTTGATCCCCCCTCTCCACCTTTCTTGCTCCGAAAGAATACGTAGCACAGACAGGGCCAAAGTTTGGGTACCTAAATGATAAGTATTGTAATGTTTGGATATCTATATTATACAGCTACAAGCAAAATCTTGGAAGCACTATTGCTGACCAACTGCCGGACCGATAAGGATGATCTTTCTATGTATGTCATCTGTGGTAGATGTAGATGTGCAAAAAATTATGAAACCCCGAACTTTTAATGTTGGAGAGCTTTTAAAGCTCATGTCACTTAAGTCCAATGTTAATAGCGTGAGAGATATGTCGTTTCCGCTAGAAACGTCAAGGTGTGGGATTCTACCTGAGTGACTCGCATAAACAATAAAACAATGGAAAAACTCGTGAAGGGCTCCTCATTCGAAGAGCTGAGGAACGGTGCATCGCTCAGGGTTCAAGGTTCAAGGTCCAAGGTATAAGGTTTAACTCAATTTTTCCTGCATTCTTCCGGCTTCGATTTGTGGCATTGGTCAATTTACTTGATTACTGAATTTCTATTAATATTTACAGCAGATAAACAGCAGATACAAAGTGAGAAAGCAGGCGCTGCGTCGCGTCGGGACGGACCAAATATTATTAACTCTTAACGATCGAAATCCGATTTTTTTTTAATTAAGTATTTAAAAATAACATAATAAATGGAAATTTCTCCAGTGAGTGGACTGTGAAATCATGTACATCCAGCTATTCCTCATCATTTACAAATCTGAGTGTTACGTCAAAAATTTTGAAATCGATGCAGCTCGAACACAAAATGGTGTATTAAAATGGAAGAACATTTTTGCCCATACATATGCGTATAGGGCCCGCGAAGCGGGCCTGAGGGCGCGAGGCGCCCTCCCGGGGGTTGGGCCGCGTAGCGGTCAGGGGGCAGGGCCCCCTAGTTTTTATATATTCGTCCGCTGTGAGTCTATAAAATAATCCAACTATCTCTTGGATCTTGGAAAATAGTTAGTTAGTTAGTTAATATATTTTAAGACATTCAGGCTATTAACGTCTTAACAGAGAATTTTGAAAATGGGCGTATATAGATAATTAATGTTAAGAGTGACTTTACATACATGAAGCAAATGTAGCGAGTTTAAGGAAAACACACCATACGAGTTATAGAAAAATGAGTTGTAATTTAATTCTTTATATGAAAACGGTTGTGCAGATTTTTCTGCAAATTTCAGGGAATTTTCTACATCGTGCAAAGCAAATTCAATACAATTTTCGAAGGAATCCGCACAAACGTTCCCTCGTAAAAAATTGAATTGCCCAGGGAAATTTGGCAATAGCTGATGTGGCTTGGTTCCTTTCTGTTTAACGCGGTCCAATTAGTTTTCAATACAGCTAGTCGTAAATTTTCTCCCATCAAAAATCCTGAGTCGAGCAATATTATTTTCAACTAGTGGCGAGAAGTGATAGTCGACCATCGATTTTTTCCTTTTTGAGGTTATGGTAAAGAATCGATTATTGAGACGCTCGTTGCGAACGCCCTGATAATCGATCTTTTTCTTTAAGTTTAAATGGCATACCAATCGATACATTGCAAATCACGCCACGCCACTGTTCTGAACGTGAAAATAATCGTTAAACTGTGTCCTTTCCAGTAAGCCTCATTCATGGGTATATGGAGGAATAAAGCTTTAAACATCCTCTTCCCGGTTGAAACTTGATCTGTCTCGGGCATTGGCGGATCCAGCAAATTGGCAACAGTGTCTTTTCTCCATTTAAACCTACGGAAATATATCGATCCTTGGAAGGGCCAGGTGCTCCGACAAGAATCGATTATTTAGCATAGATTTGAATGGAGGAAATCAGGTGTTGCCAAATTGCTGGATCCGCCTCTGGTCTCGGCCGCGACTTGAACGCAATGCGTTTCTCTCAAACTAGCTGCTACTACTACTAACAAGTCGCTCTTATAGCGCTTCTGCGCGCTCTGCGACACCCAACCGCCACCGGTAGCGATCCTGCCAGAGCTCCTTCGGCAGATCGCATCTCCTCATTCCCTGCCTTATTCCCTGAACCCACGATTTGGCAGGGCGTCCTCTACGTTTTCTGCCAGGGTGGACCCAATCCAGAACCTTCTTAGGCAACCTATCATCAGGCATCCGTTGCACACACCATGTGCACATGTGTGTGGCACATGTGCAACGGATGCCAAACTAGCTCCATATGTATATAAAAAATTACTATGCACAAAGGATTTGCGTACTCCACAGCCCCTTTCAGCATAACTACGTTCACATACTTCCATACTTTCCAACGGTGAAACTGCAGCAGTGCGTATATGTCATTCTGCGGGCTTTCAATCATACTTTCATTGTTCTTTAAATGAGACCTCCCTTGTTTCACTCCTCTTCGGAGCAGCTTTCGCTCTGGAGATTGAAAAAACTGCAGGAAAATTGAAAATTCCAGGAATCCTCTTTGACGTCATCGTGTAGAAAAAAAATGTTTTCTAGTTGATTTCAATTCAGATCGAACTTTGAAAAAAGCTTTTTCATCCTAGGCTAACTAGGTATGAACCCCCTCCCCCTTTCATGCTTTCAATGAGTCAGAGGTTCTCGTCGATGTACTTTGGAAAAAAACACTATTTCTGAATTACCTCGGAAACTTTAAAAATAACTTTTTCATCATAGGTCAACTCCGCATGAAACCCCCTATCATACTTGCAATGAGTTAAAGGTTCTCGTCGATCTACTATGGAAAAAGCATGATTTCTGAATTTCCACACAGGCACTATGATAACGCAGACACATGTGTGCCTGGAAAAATGAGGGAAATGAGATAAATAATTCATGCAGGATGGCTGGCGCTGAATTTAAAAAAAATCCACGGTTCGTCGTTAAACCAGAATTTTGTAGAAAATGAAAGTTTTTTCTCGGTGGCTCGGTGGTTAGAAAATCCAACTTCTCCGCACATGTCGATAGAATTTCCTATCAAAAGTCGATTCATTTATGTTCATAACTCGATTGTAACTAAAAAATTTCGATTGTTGTATCTTTCACTGACTTTTCACTTTTACGGCAGTAAAAAAAATTAAGATGTAAGAAACTAAAGTTTCCTTTTTCTTTTTTTAAGATTGCCCGGGTTCAAAGGTTTGTCAAACCATTCTACGAGCCATGAAAGCATGGTCAGATAAAACTTGCATCCGTTTCAAGCAGAGGAGTGGAGAACATGATTGGGTTCGCATTTTTCATAACGAAACGCAATTGTGAGTATTTCCACGTTATTTTCAACTTTTGAGTCTATTTGCCTCGAATAACCTCAAAACAATTAGAAAGATGCACAGAGGGAAGGAGGAAGAGGGGGAGTGTGAAAGAGAATATAAAATTGTGCGAGCTATGATCACGAGGGGGAAAAAATACGTCCTATATAAACATGCTAAAATACTTTGAGTCTGCGGGATAATGTGACCAAAAACTGAATTCCCCCGGAATCATTTGCGGTTAGAGAGGATGTTCTTAAGGGTAAAAATGATATACATTCGTCCAAATTGCATAAAAAAATCTTAATTTTCTGAGATTCCGATTAAAGCATTTTCACTTTCGTCTCTTTTAATTTTACCATTTTCTTGTCAATTTCATCTTGTAATTTTTCGTGATCGGAATATTTGCGTAACACAAAAATAGGCTGTCTCCCGAAATTCAGCTCAATTGGATCTATTTTGGAGGCTACGAAATTAATCAGAATATTTCAGAATTTATTTGCTGAAAATTGCAAGCTCTCGAAAAATGCTGATTTTCTCAACCCCTTGTGCTTACTATTTTTTCTTTAAAAAAAAAAAACAAACAAAAACAAGTTGATTTTGCAATCGCTAGCGATAGCAATATTCGTCATGGGAACTTTTGCTTCTGGGATATGAAAATGTTAAGGTACAGTTCGTTTGTAGTATCTTCAGAATTGAAGGGGCTATGTAATTTTGTGTCGACATTTCTTTTTTAACATTTTTAATTTTTTTTCTTTGCATACAAGAAAGCTGTTATTTACCAATTATTTATTTTCTTTGGATTATACATGGTTTTCGGAAGTTAACGCATTTAACTTTCGGTTTCGTTTTTTCGGCGTAAAGTATGATATTTTTACTCTACGCATATGCCCGAATACGCATCATAAGTGACCTATGTGCTTCCTAAGTTGCCATTTTTTCATTCAAATAGATGTAACTGAAATGTTAGATGTGTACTACCTATACTACTTTCATGTCATTGCTTTATTTATTTATTTATTTAGTTACTTTTTGCGTAGGTATAAATTGTTATTTTTTGCTGAATTTTGGAGAAAATATTGCTTTAAGAACGTGGAATGTAAATTAATTTTATTGAAAGAAGAAAATACCATCATTAATTTGGGCGAACAGAGAAAATATGCATCAATATTTGGGTCAACATCTCCCTGATTATATAAAGGATGAATATATTAGTATTTCTGTATCAAAAAACTTAGCTTTTGTCTTCAGAGATACGATGATTCTAGTCCCAGTCAAATTGTTTTATTGAAAAAACAAAAAAACAAAAAATAAATAAAAAAAAAACCAACTGAAATGTTAGACATACTATTTTCATGTCTTTCTATTTCTATCAATAGGTACTTTTTGCTTAACTTACGAACGTTGAATGCAAATTAACTTTATTGAAAAAAGAAAATAACGTCATTAATTTGGGGGAACATGTGGCTGATTATATGAAGGAGGTATATTCCAGTATGTTTGTTTAACATATTAACTCACGAGAAAATGTTCGTACATTTATCATCTACTATTAATTATTTTTTGATGATTAGTCTAAAACATTCAATACAACCATTAAATAGTAGTTCCCATCGTTGGGTATCGAACTCCCGATCGCCGGGTGCCCGCACCTAATCAAAAATACGAGGCGGTTTAGTCAACTAGGCTCTAACGGATCCACGTGAGCGAGTGTAAAAATAGCATTTAAAAGACTCGGGCAATGGGCGGGACTTATCACAAGAGACCTTGACGCTTGGGATATGAGAGAAATGAGCTAAGCGCATTGCTGTAGGAGCCATGGTTCGCACTGTTTTCATGTCTCTCAGGGTTCATCTCAGCATGCATTTGCCATCGCGGCAGTAAGCTGAGGCGATATTTGTTTATCCATGAATTAAATCAATCAATCGAGCTCTGATTTTGACTTCTTTGTCCGTAACGAGTCCTCCAGAACAATTTTCCACCTTGTACGATGGTTATTATTTCTTTACTTCTATTTTTCAAATTTGAGGTGGGATAATGGCGGCTTCTCAAGAACACCGAGGTAGGCGATCTTTTGCACCAACGAACAGAAAACTGATGGCGAAAAATAACCAATCAGAACCTCCCAAAAAAAAGAATTTGCCCAAAATCGGAACTTCGTGGTTCTGCGCAGATTTACCAGTCAGACACGACATCTCAAGGTGGAAAAAAACTCGCTGAAAGCGAATTTTAGAAATCAACACAACTTGACGTAGAGACATGATTGGCTAAAAAATACAACGGTTTTTGATACATCGGAAAATCAACCAAAAATCGAAGACTGGGCGAAACGCTCAAGGTCGCAGAGGCATAGGGAATCCCATAGCGATAGCAACGGAACGATTGTAAAATCATGGGGAACTTCGTTCCCATGACAAAAAACAGTTTTTTAGTCCGGGGGCATAGATTCAAGAACAGCCTCTTGTGTAACCGTAAGTGAAGTAAGTGTAAATTGTGTCTTAATATTTTCGCACTGCATGATGTGTAGAAAAAGAGTTAGAAAATTGTGTTGAAAAAGTGTCGATGTTGTCAAGATAACATTTGCGCTTAAAACCCAAAATTCAATGTGGCGGCCAAAGTGGGGGTTCGGGGGCTGGCAATTTTGAAATTTATCTTTGGTGTCGTGTTTGGAACCTTTTCCTACGTAATTTTCGTCATAGGTTCCGAATTCGGCGTTCAAAATACGTTCCGCTCCAAAACCAAGATGACCGCAAAAATTCCCCCTTCATAGTCAAAACTCCGGTAGGTATCTACCAATGTCAGGTATACGGTATCCAGCATTTCGTCGTAGTTTTCATGTAAAAGATCAAAAACTTACTACAGGCCCTTTTTATACTTCAATGTAGCCACATTCACAATTGTGCTCACTTGCATTCATTGCAAATTGCGTTTTTCGTCGATCGAAGTGGCACGCGAGACACAAAAACTTGCTGCTGAAGATCTGAAAATGTGTCCATGGACACGCATTCTTGCTTAATTTCACGTGATAAGCCTAGTTCCCCCAAAAAAGTGCCTACAAATCTTTCTCCCCCGCCCCCAACTTTGCCCAAATCGCAGCCAAAACGAGTCGCACTCATCGCAAATCACGATTTTTCGTCGATTTTTTCAAGAGTTACAAACCTCAAACTTACTTAGTATCATCCGGGGTGTTGATATTTAAGATTTTATTGTACTTAAGCACATACAGCACATCATACTCTCGAGTGTCGATGGATTCGTTCTAGCGAAAACAATGTTATTTGGACGTATTTCTACCAAACAGACCTATGTGGAGGTGAGAAATATGGGGTGTGCTCGTCGAAGCTGCATAAGAAGCAATGTAAAAGTGGGCGTGATTCCATTTGAAGAATTGGAAAAGCGGGATTTTACATTCTATCAAACAGACCTATGTGCCAACTGAATGCGAGATGCATGAGCCGCGGGCATGGCAAGAGAGCGTTGTGGACAGGGCTCATGAGTTACAGCGCCCCGACGGAAAATCTCCCCCTCGCGCGTGCTCTCGATCATTGCCGCTGACGTCACTGGTGCTTTATTATTCTCATTTACTCTTACGGTCAGAGAACTAACGAGCACACCCCATATTTCTCACCTCCACATAGGTCTGTTTGGTAGAAATACGTCCATTTCATTCTTTGATTTCCACTCGTAGCGGATGTTCAGCCGACAACGGGAGAAAAGGCGGAGAGCAAGAGCTTTCATGCGGTCCTGGTCAGTGGCACCATCGAATTCTCATGCACGAATTAGGACATGTTCTCACTCTAAAACACGATCACCAGCGCCCAGATAGAGACAAATATGTGAAAATTATTGATCAGAACATTAAGCCGGTAAGTCACGATGATGGGTCTAGTGCACACAAGAGATGCATGGGAGGCATGACGTGCTTCGCGATGTTTCGATTGATCTGTCATTTAAACCAGTGGCGTGGCGTGAATTGCGATGTATCGATTGTTATGCCATTTAAACCTATGGAAAAAGATCGATTGTTCGCAGCGAACACCTTAGTAATCGATTCTTTACCATAGTTCCAAATGGCGAGATATCGATAATCGATTATTCACGCCACGCCACTGATTTAAACCCATGGAAAAGGATCGAGAACCAGGGTGTTCACAACAAGCACCTTAAGAATCGTTCCTTTACCGTAGCCTCAAATAAGAATTTATCGATAATAGATTATTCCGCCTCGCCACTAGAAAATATCCTCTCAATTCTACGTCAAACGCAAAACGTAACGTAGCTTAGCGTAAACGTTCTACGTAAAAAACGTAAAATGTTCGTAGTTCTTGTGGTGATTTTTTTTAGAGTACTGCGTCTGCGGGTATTGTTTTTTTTTTTTTTTTTTTTTTTTTTTTTTTTTTTTTTTTTTGACATTAATCAGATTTGCTCATGGAGAGACTTAAGAAAACCTAACTGAAATAAATAAACAATTTTGAAAAAAAATTCTCAATTAAGTTTCCAGTTGTTTTCTCACTGCCTGATTTCTTAGTGTTGCAAGAACAAAAACTTTAATTGAATGTAAATCATTCGTAAGACACACATGTGCACCAGTTGATTTGATTGCTCGAAAATTAATTTATTTGACACGTACCTAAACAATATTATGACCATTCAAACCTTAGACATGCATATATTTATAACATTGTAAGGTGTAAGATATATAATACATCGATAATATTAATACGCCGCAAGGAAAATTAAAAGTCTTTGTGCCTCCTATTCTTTTTCCTATGATTTCAACTTTTAGTGATGCAACCTTCGAGAAGGTCTTTTGACATTGACCATATTGATGCAGGATGCCTTAAAATTAATTTCTAGGTTCAAAGGTAATACTCCTAGATCTTAACGCAATTGATACAACGTAGGAGAACGTGTTGAATTGTACTTAAGTGAAACAACTTTTCTTGATTTTTTCAGTTAATTACGTTGAGAGCAAACGATTGTAATGATATTTTCCATTCATTGGATTGTTCATAATTCCTATATCCAGAAATGTATCAAGTTTAAGGAGGTTTGAGATGTTGATGCCTCCTATAACTAATGTTTAGCTAACTAATATGTTTACTGATTTCACAGGGATTTGAAAATCAGTTTGAAATAAAGGACCGAAGTGAATTCAACATTTTGGGACTCCCGTATGATCGACATTCGGTAATGGCGTATGGTGCGACAACATTTTCAAAGGTGAAGTGATTTTTTGTGCTCAGTAGAACTTTAATTCATTTCATTCAACCTACATATCGATCTACGTACAAGTCCGTAGGCGAGAAAGAGGCAAATATAAGATACCCAAACTACAGCTGAGCGACGGCGGCGTGGCGGCTCGCATTGGCGTCTTCAAACCTAAGGAGATACTCTAAGCATTGCGCAATGCGTGAAGTATCCCCTTAGGTTTGTAGGCGCCGGTGCGCGTTTTGCGCAGGCGTGACGTTAATATTGCATCACTCGGCGCATATATACCGTGCCCAAAAATTATAAAAAATGAACCTTTGGCAACAATTCAAAGTTCACGGATAAATAACTGGCAATTCGAGAAAACCGACGTTGAAAGCCGACACTTTTGTCACTCTTTGGAGAGATACACGTTTATAACATCATTAATTGTGAAAAATATACCTCGAAACTTCTCGAGTGTATTGAGGGTTTATGCCATCAAGAACTAGAATTCGATACTTTTTACCCCTAGTTACTTTCTTGCTCCCCTTGCGAGTAGAGGAAGTATTGTCATCCAAAAAGAAAAAAGATGAAATTTCATCATTTCTAGGCGTCTGAAGGTACCCGGAGAAAAAAAAAAAAAAATCCGTCCGGCTCTTCGGTGTATACTGAACACTTAGAGTTTCCCCGTCATGGCATACTATTGGGGCTAAATTTTGCAATTTTGAACTATTATTTCTGTCTCTTTCAGAAAAAAACACGTTTACTATAGTTTTATATAGAGATCGGTATCTCACTGGGTGAGCCAGAGTCAGATACAACAGTCCTTAACCCTAGTCTGCCTGGGTGGGGTCCCACGGGAGTTTCAACTCTTTGCCATTTCTCGTGGTATGCACGAAATTTTTTGTCCTTCACAAATAGTTCTACAAAAACATCTAGGAACACGATTTTGAAGGGGGAAAAAAAAATGTGCATGAGAGATCAAAAAATTCACGAGTACCCCTAGAAAGCCTGAGCGGGGTCAGATATCCTTATAACATATATTTTACCATTTAGTATCACAAAAGCTTACTTTGAAGGTGTATTCATTTTTCTCTTTTTAATTTTTTTCAGAAAATTATAAAACAAGCAAAATTTTTTCAGATTTTTTTCGTTTTCAGTATTTAGTAGCCCTGTGATTTTTTTTTCTCATGCTGAGAACAACATGGCAACATGTGTATGATAAAATGGTTGCATACCCTGCGCCGTGTTTTTTAAAACTTAGATATGCTTTATGGTTAAGGCCTGTAAGTAAGGTTAGTGCACTGATATTAACTAAAAACATGAAAAAAAACATAGCTAACTAATTGATTTTCAGCTGGGGTCAAATTGACCCCGCTCAGGCTTTCTCGTTGGTTCAGAGGCTCAGGCAGACTAGGGTTAAAGGACCAGTTGCAAACTTCTGCCAGAGCAAAAATAAGAGTTGTCTCTTATAGCAAATGAATCAAAATTCACGGTAAGCGCATCAACAAAGTCTGAAATGCACTCTTAACTTCACAACCTGCGCATGAAATTCGCGATTTTTTTAACTTATCGCTTCATAAACGATACTACGGCGCAGGTGAACATTTCGTTATAGAGGAGTTATTTCTTCTAACCTCTGTGCAATACTGTACAATATTCAACATGACCGACGCCAATCCACCAAAATTGGCCAAAACTCATGTGCCGGGACGAAATTCTAGTCATTTGTTGACAACCTGGCATGTTTAAATTCACGTTTCCTTCGTGTTGATAAAGATCCGTCTTGATAGCGTCGGTTATGTTAGTATTACAAAACATTCTAGGACGCAAGGGTTGAATGGAACGACTCCTCGGATGAAATGTTCACCTGTGCCGTAGTATCGTTTTTTGGAGCGGGGAGCATAAAAAAAGTGAATTTCTTACGCAGATTGTACAATTAGGAGTGCATTTTAGACTTTGTTGATGCGCTCACCGTGATTTTTGAGCCATTTTCTATAATAACAATTCTTAATTTTGCTCTAGCAAAAGTTTGCAACAGGCTCATCGTAAAATGTAAATGCAAATATACGTCCATTTTGCCCTGCTGAGTCACTCATTAATAAAAGGGCTGCAAAAACAAAGCTCGTTAATAAAGGGTGGGGCTACAGCTAACCGGATTTGCATTACAACATTGAAAAGTTTCAGCCTGCAACCTACTTCATTGCTTATTTTGGAAGTATGTTTTGTGTTGAAAACATTGGGAAAGGTCCATCGAAAAGTAAAGAAATTTCGCGAATAATTTAAAAATTAATTTTACATTTACATCTGGTCATAGAATACGTAGATTGGTAATCAATCAAACGAAAGATCGCATTTTTCCGCGCTACAACACTGAAAAAAATGTATGGTAACGGCTACTATAAGTCTACTTGATTTTTTACGAAGTGATACTATGTAGTGAAAAAGACCAGAATTATAGTATTCACCAGAATTCGGGTAATTCTTAACACAATATTGTAAATGCTACCATACAATCTGGTGTTAATTACTATACTCGGATCACTGTGTCTGAGTATGGTAAAATCTACCATAATTTTTCTCAGTGAATGACCTCGTAAGCAACACAGGATGAAAGAAGAAAAGTGTGGTAAGGTTATTGATTTCATAGCAATTTGTCTAGGTGACTGTAATTTTGCATAAAAAATATCGTCTCATTTCCCAAGAAATGCAAAAATATGACGTTCATTGTTTGTCTTTTATAGGACGGAGAGAAAAAGACACTGAAACCAACCAAACTCTTAGGCGGTGGTAGGCTGAGGCGTGCAGAAAAAATCAGTGAAGGAGATGCAATGAAAATTACTGACCTTTACCGCTGTACTGGTTAGTTGCATTTAGTTTTTACTCTTAGCTTAGTTGTTCTAACGACCGTATGGTGCATTTTTTTTACGAGTCCATTCCTAAACTTACGGAGAGAAGAGATAGAGAGAAGTTATTAACAGTGCTCATTAAGCAGAAAGGAACCAGGCCATATCGTTACTAAGCATTCCTTTGCACTACCGCTCGGTAGAGCCGATTTCCATAATTTTTGCGGTCATCGGCAGGTGATACCGCCGGAAGAGAGTAGTTAGTGCAAAAATGAAGTTTTGAGGAAAAGGCTCACAAGCATCTGACCGGAAAATTTTATTCAAAAAAGCCTCCGCTCTTTGTCAGATTGTCACTAATCATCTGGAAGACTCCTTGAAATCGTTTGAATGATTGAAAATCGGCCGATTTTATTTCAATTACATAAAAAGGGTATTTTTCATTATCTGGCTAGGCTATTGTTAGACAAGACAGCCGTAAGTGTTATTTCCTGTATACTGCCGTGGTTGCGTTTTGGACACAGAACAAACACATTTTCAGATTAAAATTGGTAGAGGAGGGCGGCACTTTACTTGAAGGCACTGTTTTCATCGGCTCTCTGGAGGGAAAATGCCACTTACTGCTGTCTTGCCTGAAACTCCGTCAGTTTCTGCGCACTTACGGCTTCCTCACACGTCTCGTTTTTGCACAATTAAGATGAATTTTGCTGTTTTAGCTATTTCAGTGATTTCATCAACAGGAGATTAGACAAATTTTGAAGGAAACTCGATTTCGAAAATTTGACCCGTACTACTCTCTTCGCTATCACCGCAGGGTGGTCCAAGATGATTTTCAGATTTTGGGAATTTAACCCAGATTATTGCATTTTTTTTTTTTTTTTTTTTTTTTTTTTTTTTTTTTAAATTCATGGAAAATAGACATGAATACAATTCGCATAGAGGCATATAAATAAATGTTCAGGTTCTAGTGGAGATCTCAAGTATGTAAAATTAAAGTTATGCGATCATATTGATCAAATAGTAAAGAATTAATCATAAGTTAATCATATTTACAATCCGTGTAGAAAATAGTAACATAAATATTTTAGGTCTGCATGAGATCTCAAAAGATTATTGTATATTGAGTGTTGAAAATGTGAGTTGAAAGCGCCGAGAATCCGAGGCAGTGGCGAGGCGTGAATTTTGATATATCGATTGTTATGCCATTTAAACCTATGGTAAAGAATCGATTTTTAAGATGTTAGCTGCGAACACCCTGTTTATCAATCCTTTTCCATAGGTTTAAATGGCATAACAATCGATGTATCGCAATTCACGCCATGCCTCTGATCCGAGGGTGCGATCTTCATTCCGAAATCGAGTAAACATTGAGACTCCTTCAGTCGAATACAGTTACAATTTCTTCTCCTAACAGGTACAAAATTCTAGAGGAATTGCCCAAGTAGAAACTCACCCTGCTCTCTTTATAATAAGTTAAAATGATGGCCCTATTTTTAGGCAGAGTCAGTGGCGTAGACAAGGCGGGGTCCAGAGCCCCCCCCCCCTTCCTTAGCCTCATTAATTGTACCTTTTTTTCAGTGGCGTGGCGAGAATTGCGATGTATCGATTGTTATTCCATTTAAACATATGGAAAAGAATCGATTATTAAGGTGTTCGCTGCGAACACTCTGTTTATCGATCCTTCTTCATAGGTTTTAATGGCATGACAATCGATATATCGCAATTCAAGCCACGCCACTGCTTTTTTTACCCCTGGAAGGGCAGACATGAAACATTATCAGGGGCTAATATAAATGGATCCCCGCCCCCCACCCCCCTCAAAGAATCCTAGCTACGCCTTTGGGAGAGTAATGCAGAGATTGCAGATTTTGACCCTATTATCGCCTTAGTACTCCCATTTGAACGATGTAAATTTTCACTTTTTGTCATAATAATAGTTGAAAGAAAGAGGTGAAGTTGAAGCACCTCGACCAGTCTACTGAACTTGTTTGTATTCTCCACTGTGAATTGTATTTTCATAGGCTCCCGGCAAAAAACAAGCTGGCCTGTCGATGTTTTTTGTGACTTCAAAGATGATGATTGCGGCTTCGACTGGTTTCGACAAGGCACGTGGAAGTGGGTTCCGGAATCAGGTCAGAAGTTTTAAACTTATTCAATTATAAAATATTAAACGTTATAAATTCAAACTTAAAACAATTTAATTTATAATATTTTAATTTTTTCTCGGGTCCAAATATTTAAACCGACACCAAACTATTCAGCTAAATACATTAGATGGTTTGATGTATTGATTTGATTTTTCCTCTCCACTTGGAAGAATCGGGAGGTAGAAAAAACATTCAAGCTACAAGATGTAATTAACCTCGCGATTTGTTGAGACTTGCGCATCGAGACTAATACAGGGTGATTCAAAAGTATCTTCCACCCCCAGTAATTTTTTACCTTACGCTTGGAAGATGTTCCTAGGTCAAACGAACCTATGTTTTAGTCCCCTAAAAATTTTAGGGGGGGGGCAACGGACCCCAACTTTTTTTCAAATAGGGAGACCCTCCTTCTGATACCTCGTTCGAAAGATTATTAAAAAAGAATCGTTTTTGAGAAAAGCCGAAGCTAATACATACCTCTAACCTTTTTAAAATAGCGGCCGGTTGAAGCTTAAGATAATAGCTGAAAATTGACACCGCGAACTGATCTAGTACATACCACCGGTAGAATTGAGAACCTTCTGCGGCTCTTACCCCTACATACAAAACCAATGAGTGTAATTCGGCTAGAATTCACTTATCTCACAAAAATCTCATAAGAGAAGTCGTTCCATCCAACCCTTGCGCACTAAGATGCTACGCAGAGATTTGAAGCGGGAAGCTTGAAAAATGCATCGTTTTCACTCGGTTCGCGAAGTTAGGATTGTATTTCAGACTTTCCCGATGCTTTCATCGTGATTTTTGAGCCACTTTTTTTTCTGTAAGATACAAGTCTCCTTTCTGCGCTAGCTGAATCTTGCAACAGGGCAATTTACCTTGAGGTGATTTCAATAAGATTTCTGCCAGATCAAAGAAATACAAGGGGACTCTTGAAATTCCGTCGCGACTTTTAGGCAACTTTCTTTTTTAAGCCTGACTTTTAAGACTCATGTTCATGCTTCAACGTGACGTTCAAATCACCTCCACATAACATCTCCATTCCAGCCGACTGTTGCGTTAATTTTTTTTTTTTTTTTCCAGAGAAGGGTGGGCACTTGATAAGCTCTTCGCCGAGTTACAGGAAGCCACTGCCAAAGAGAGGAAACATTTACAGTATCAATTTTCATGGTTTGAGTCCGTTCGACCGTGATCGTGGACCAATGGGATGTATCAGTTTCGAGTATTCGTTTCAATATACCACTAACGGAGAGATTAGTTTGTCGGTTAGTGTCCAAGCCTGTTTTGTCACTCGAAGGATCCATTGCGAACAAAAGATATCGCGATTGGCTACTTAACAAGATCCGAACCGCGAGAAAAGCGTCACAAGTTTTCTCTTGATCCCACTGAAAAAAAAAAAAAGTTCGGTTGTACCGAAGTTCGGTGTTCCATATTATCCCAACTCATTCGATTTATCAAACAGAATTTTCGGTCTGTCAAACTGAATCTTCGGTTTCTCAAACCGAACTTGTGCGGTTGACGAACACAGTTTGATCATAAATGCGGAACGTTCGGTTGCACGAACCGAAAGTTCAATTTGACCAACCAAATATTCGGAATGATATGGAACACCGAACGTTCGGTTTACGTGACTGATTTTTTTTTTCAGCGCATCTTTCGCGGATTACTATCCACAACCACACCACGGAAAGTTGGGAAATCAACTCCGAAAGGAGATATTTGCAAGTATTTTTTTCAACTTGCGAGTGGCCAGCGCAACGGACTATCGCCAACGCGGTCCACGTTCGATCTTAACAGCTTCCACCTGATTTTTAATGAGGTTGAAAATTTTCAACTCAAAGATTTGGTCAATTTAACCCGAGGAGAAACTAACAAATAACTATGAACCGCAAGTTTAGTTTACTTTGTGCTCTACTCCCCATACTAACATAACATGTTGGTTACTTTGTCTTACTGTGTGACCCCAGTTAAATGGTCTCAAACATCAGTTTCCCGGGGCTGATGGTTGGGCAAAGGCTGAGATATGAGACTCAAGCCGCAAAATTAACACTTAAAGATATTTGAAAGGGGATAAAAAGAAGACAAGCACTGGTACTTATGTCGTCTGTGTGTCTCAGAGCCGAGAGCATTTCAAGATCGACTGGATGTATTTCTATCAAACGGAACTAAGCGCCATCGGGTGAGGAAGGGAGAGGGGGGCTTGGATTGGCGGGTGTTGCGGTACGCGATGCTCGTTCCATCCTATACTCGCAATACTTTTCCATGCTGCCGTGCTAAGGAAGAACGCCGTATGAACCTCCAGGCGTTGCCAAATTTCCTTCGATAAAACGCGAATTTCCTGGTAAAATTATGAATATTTTCCTTTCGATTATTCAGATAATTTTGCACGCAATTTCACCTAAAATTCCTGAACATCTCAAGGGAAACTATTTATAAATTTCCTCAAAAATAAATATTTCATCGAAGGAAATTTGGCAACTCTCGAATGTTCATACGGCGTTTTCCCTTAGCACGGCAGCATGGCGCTTAGTTCCGTTTGACAGAACACGCTATCCGGGATTCTGTAATCCTCAAAAGGAACTCAATTTGGCGCTTAGTTCCGTTTGAAAGAAATACGACCAACTTTGATGAGCCTTTAGCTTTCAACATACATTAAAATCGCTCCTCCGTACGCACTCTGGCGTTCTGTGATACCCGATCCTAAAAAGTTTTGTTTTCTTCTTTCTCTCTCTTTTACCTCCTGTTTCGTGACAATGTATTGGGCTTGTTTTTGGTGCAGCTACTGAAGGTGGATGTGGACACACCCTTCGATATCCGCTATGAATCGCATCGGTTGCAGAATGTTCGAATATGGTCCCACAACGATAAGAACCCAAATCCTGCAAAATACATCCGATGGTATCAGGACTCTGTTCCAGCTAACGTGCAAGGCCCATTCAGAGTAAGGACCAAGTTTTGACCGTTGCCGTTTTCTTCTCGTTCCATGTACACCTGGTGATAGGTTAAATACGGAGTTACATATGGACGCATGTCTATCAAACGGAACTCACTGGAAAAAAAAAAAAAAAACACATTGGATCTAGAGTCTAGACTCTTGAAAACATTGACAAGAAAAAATACTCTTGATTCAACTGATTTTTGCTTGATCGAATCAAAACGAAATCCGCTTAAATTAAGAGGCTTGGTTTTTGATTTAAGCTAGATTCTGATTGAATCAAGAGTACTTTTTCTTGTCTATGTTTTCAAGAGTCTGGACTCTAGATCCAATGTGTTTTTTTCCAGCGTATGTGCATTAAGACATGAGCCCTGCGGCCCATAAGAATATGTGCATAACAAGGCTCACGTCATAATGCACATAGTTCCGTTTGCTAGAAATACGTCCATATCGGCGTTGAATCTCCCATCACGCATCTCGTTTGCGGTGTTTCAAAATCTACGGTCTCATTGTAATATTTTCCAGGAGTATTGTATTGTATTATTTTCTCTACATGACTTTGTTTAAAAGGAGAGGTATCAATGAAGGCTATTTTTGCGCCCACCCTAAATTTCCTCAACTCGGCGATTTTTGGCTCATTACAGATCTCTATTATACGGAATGCATCATGATTTGGTCTATTTTTATCTCTTTTTGGGACTAGTACTGGCCTTAACATGGGTTTGAAGGCCTTTTTTGGAAAGAAAGTTTGCATTGCGGGTTGTCTGGGGCCGCGGCACATACATGCTTCAGATATACGTCTACAAATACATCGTAAAAGGAACAAGAATCAGATTCCAAACTGAAAAAAAGGGGGAAAAATTGATTGTGAGGGAATTTTTCGACATCTACCCTTACAAGTCACCAGTCGGATTAAACTCACACAACTTTCTCTTCTGAGGGAGTTATAGGTCTGGTAAATACAAGCTTTATATGGATTGCATTCCGCAAAAAGGAACCAGAAGCATTGCAATGATGCTAAGATTGTGCAACTCCGTCCTTTACAATAAAATCACTGAAATCATGAACAAATATGAAATTTACAGGGTAATTTGTGTCTTAAATTTACTGTTTTTGGCGAGTAAAATAGAATCTGTTAATGAACAATCAGGTTTTTCTTCCGAGACTAAAGAGGTTCCACAATCTTAGCAACATTGCAATGCTCCTGGTTTCTTTTTGCAAAATGCAATCCATATGAAGGTTTACAAATAAATCGTGAGACAAGGGTCAGGAATCAGATTGAAATAAAACGGGCAAACACCGAGTGTCAAGACCCAGCCGAGCGTCAAAAAAACTTAATCGGATCTCTTTTTTCAACTTTTTCTCCGCATTTGAGTGACGCCTCATTGACAGCACGGTGCAGAGTAGTGCGAGTTGACGCCTCGCGCCATCGCGCCTTCAATTTTTTAGATGCAACACGGACATCCATCAAGCACGAATAGTTGTATCTCCGCGCCGCCATCAACGCGCGTCCTCTGTTTTGATCTATATCCTTGTTGTGTCGGTCTTCTCCGTCCTATTAATCGTAGTGTTGTCTCAAGGGCTGCGGGAGCAACTCAAACAATGATAGGAGAGAAGTTATAGGGTCCGATTAAAAAAAAAAAAAAAAAAATGAATTTGTTCTTGACGACTACCCCTAAAAATCCAAAGCCGGGTAAAAATAATAGTGGACCCGACTACCTCTTTCAGGAGAGTTTCAGATATGATTGAGGAGGGGGTAAAAAAGCGCCAGTATGGAACCAAAGAAGTGGAAAATTTTAGAATTTCTCACTTTCAAAAAGGTAGCAGTAACATAGATAATACTTCAAAAATTATGAAAAGCAATGTATTCAAATGTGGGTCAATTTGGCTCAACTACGAACTGGAAAAAAGTCTTGGGCATCTACGGGTTAAATGCACATCATTCAACGGCAATTCTTATAAACTGCCGTGATTTTCCTCTTCGTAGGAAAAAAATCTGTAAAACCTTGAAGGAGTGATGTTGATTTTTTTTCTTTTTAAAAGAGGAGGACACCGCAAAATAGTTAAGAAGCCCTGTTCACAAGGCTCTAGGTACAAGCCCACGGCTCACGAGTTAGCGCTCAGTTCCTTTGGATTTAATTGAAAATCCCGCTTTTCCATTTTCTCAAAAGGAGCTATATCCACTTTTACATTCTTTCTTATCCAGCTTCCACGAGCACACCCCATCTTTCAGTGTCCGAAACTCACAGGCGCCAACGCGCCAATTGCGCCTAAAAAATCAACCATGGCGCCTAAAAAATGAAGGCTCTGCGCCAACGTGGCTCCTAAAAATTGCCCCCTAAAAATCTGGATTTTCATAGGAAATCTTATAAAGAAAGAAAAAGAAATCTATTTGAATTAAAAAAAAAACTCGGAATTTTCAGCACTGCAAGTGAAAGCTTTTTCTATTCTTCACGATTTCATTCTGATATTGCTTTTGTCCTTCCCAAGTTACAGATACTTACTGGTTCTGTTCCAAGAACATCTTGCGTCTATCTTTCCACTAATTGCGCCATAATACCCTAGTAGCACAATTAGTGTTTAAAATGTTTCAAAAATGTGTCACTGAAATAAAAAACCTTGTCAACACATTTCATCGAAACATTTTAAACACGTTCAAAATGTTTTCATTCAGTTTTTAACACGTTTCAGACACTTCTCTATGTCACCCCAAATTTTTGTCAAACTGACACCCTATGCAGATGTTTCTGATACCTATTGAGGATGTAGCAAAGTTTCACTGATACGTTTCAGGAACATTTCTGAAACATATTTTTGAAAGGAAAGGTGATTGATGCTCTCACAAAATTGTTTCAGAAACGTTTCCAAAACATTTCGATGGTTTTCAAAATATTTCTTACGTTTCATGGAAACATATTAAACACGTTCAGAATGTGTTCATTCAGTTTTTAACACGTTTCAGACACTTCTCTATGTCACCCCAAATTCTTGTGTCGCCTACACCGTGGGAAGATGTTTCTGAAACCCATTGAGGATGTTTCAAAGACTGAATCGTTTCAGCAACATCTATATTATACAGCTACAAGCAAAATCTTGGAAGCACTATTTCTGACGAACTGCCGGACCGATAAGGATGATCTTTACATGTATGTCATCTGTAGTAGATGTAGATGTGCAAAAAATTATGAAACCCCGAACTTTTAATGTTGTAGAGCTTTTAAAGCTCATGTCACTTAAGTCCAATGTTACTAGCGTGAGAGATAAGTCGTTTCCGCTAGAAACGTCAAGGTGTGGGATTCTACCTGAGTGACTCGAATAAACAATAAAACAATGGGAAAGCTCGTGAAGGGCTCCTCATCCGAAGAGTTGAGGAACGGTGCATCGCTCAGGGTTCAAGGTTCAAAGTCCAAGGTATAAGGTTTAACTCAATTTTTCCTGCATTCTTCCGGCTTCGATTTGTGGCATTGGTTAAATGGAAATTTCTCCAGTAAGTGGACTGTGAAATTATGTACATCCAGCTATTCCTCATCATTTACAAATCTGAGTGTTACGTCAAAAATTTTGAAATCGATGCAGCTCGAACACAAAATGGTGTATTAAAATGGAAGAACATTTTTGCCTAAACATATGCGTATAGGGCCCGCGAAGCGGGCCTGACGGCGCGAAGCGCCCTCCTGGGGGTTGGGCCGCGTAGCGGTCAGGGGGCAGGGCCCCCTAGTTTCTGTAACATGTATTTGAGAAAATTAGGTTCTGACTGTTCACTAAGAAATGTCTTAGAAATGTTTTTCAGAAATTTTTTTCTTCGGGGGTTAAATAGAGGTTAAGTATCAAAAATTTTCAGACATTTGTTTTAATAACTAATGTCGCTGTGGAATTACAACCATCACAGCAGGAATACCTTGATACCAACCATGCCTGAAGGCTGAATCGTTACACTTCATCATTATCAATCTATCAGAGGGATTAGAACACCTTCACTTTAGAAAAGTATACGTAAAGCACAATGTACGGATTCAATATTCTAGATAATCCATAACTTATGAGCTTTTATGGAGATGAACTCGATTCATACAAGGAATTAAACGTGTTTATAACCTTCACATAATTAAATGTCCAAAAAGTATAGCTTGAGACGAAAAATTAAGCTGAAATTTGGTAAAATTGAGAAACTAAACGTTAACGCCCTCTGGTGGATTCAGTTTGAACCAGGAAAAGTTTTAGAAAGGTCCTAGAAATGTTTCTATGTTAATCAATGAAACATTTCTAAAACGTGTCAAAAACATTTTTAAGTGACGTATAAATCCAAACAAAATATTCAAAAAGGTTTTAGAGACATTTTGAAAATGTTTTGAAAAGGATTTGTTGAAACATTTTCAAAATGTGTTCCAAATATTTCAACTAAAACCACCCATTTCAGATGCCCTTATAATTTGTTTTGGAAACGTTTTAACAAAGATTAATGAGATGAAGAAGAAATGTTTGGAAAATAATTTTGACTCAGTTCAACGTAACAAAGATCAAACTAGGTCAAAATGTTTTAAATTTGTTTCAAAAATGTTTCAGAAGAAATGGTATTTTTCTAAATTCATACGAAATATTTCTGATATGTTTAAGAAATATTTCTGAAAAATCGCGTAAATTTTTTAAATTTGTTTTCAAAACAATTTAAAATTTTGGTAATTACGCATCAAAAAACTGAAAGTAAAACATTTCAAATTTATTTCCAATATATTTTTTAGGTACAAAATTTGGACGTAGGTTTCGGAATAATGTTTCCAAGATAGTTCTGAAACATTTCTATTTTGATTCATTTTTTACAGCCGCAATTTATTTCAAATTTATTTCTAATATATTTTGATTTTAATTTTTTTAATTTAAAAAAAAAAAAACGTTTTTAAAACGGTTCAAATTTGTATCAATGAAACCTCTGCAAAGCTTCGTGTCAATTATATATTTCAAAAATATTTCTGAAACGTTTCAGTGAGATGACACAAGTTAGACACCTAGGAGATGTTTCTAAAATATTAGTGAAACGGGTTGTGCTACTAGGGTATGTAAGCAGAAAGTCAAATTAGCTCCTAAAAAATCTTCAATGGCGCCTAAAAATCAGGCTTTATGCGCCACATGGCTCCTGAAACTCGAAGGTGAGTTTCGAACACTGCCATCTTTCCACTTGCACAGTTTCTTTTAGCATAAATACGTCCAGATGTCCATACTCTCTCTATCAAGTCAAACGCCAACCGAAAACACAGGGAAAAGCGGAAACAAGGCTAAAATACAAAATATAAAGGCAGAACGTTTCGGTACACTCAAAAAAAGGCATGACTCTGAGACACATAAAAAATGGCTCGGAGATCCATAATTGCTAACCAAAGTGACTTACCGTCTACAGTATGGCTTTCTGAGCCATACTTTATTGGTCGTGAACCTATAAGCATGGCTCCACGAACTATATTTTATGGCTCCATAATCCATAACTCGGCCGGTAAGTCACTCTTCCCATGCTTGTTTTTTGAGTGTACCTTACGGCACCATTATCAACTGCTAAAAAATAATTAAAAATAAAAAAAGAAATTAAAATAAAAACCAACAAACGGCGTTACATAGTGAAATTGGTAAAATGAGTCAAATGCTTTATATATCGTTCAGCAATGACATCAAGTTCTTCATTTGCAGCTCGAGTTTTACACATCCTTCGGCCAAAGGATGAAGGGCGATCAGGGAGGAGAACGGATTGTGATAATCAAAAATCTCGCCGTGAAATACAGCAAGTGTGGCGGTCCCGGTGCCGAGATCTATCAAGAGAGGAATCCACCGCCTGTCTTCGTTCAACAGCGAGAACGAGGCTACGACGGGAGTCAGCCCTGGTTTAAACTGCGAAGTCTTGGCAAATCCTTGAACTGGCTCAAAGTTCCCTCAGTGTCAAAATCGCCTTCAGAAAGGTTCTCACGAGCAGTGTCCCCGCAATCGTCTTTCAACAGTCACGTGTAAAAATGCAGTAAATGCACTGAAAAAAATTCTCGGCGTTTTTACCAAGGTCCGTTGGTACCTTTACCATCTCACTTTCTTTACCAATTATTAGTAATTTTACCAAGACAGACTGGTAAGCTTACCTAAAAACCGGTATTTTTACTGTTTTTTTCAGGTAAGAATACCACTTTTATTGGTAATCAATTCCGGGTAACTTTGCCATTTTATCTCGGTAATTCTACTACAGTCGATAAAAAATTTTGGCGTTTTTACCAAGGTCCAGTAAAATACCGAGAAAGTTCATTAGTTTTGCCGAGATTCTCGGTAAAATTACCAATTCCATAAATAGTAATTTTACCAAGAAAAAACTGGGATCAAATAGAACCCTGAATTCTTGGTAGTTTTACACTTTTCTTAGTAAATACACCGAGATTTTTTTTTCAGTGTGCAGTCAAAAATTGGGTAACGTTGCATAATGTCAACGATCATGGTGTCAACTAGAGTCCCTTAAGGTGATTCGATGGACGCCACATTTTGTGTCAGAACGGCATGCGATATATCGCATCAATTGGTTCCATTTTTTTAGCTACTCGTCATTGTTCTCCAATTTTGAGATCGCAATCCTGTTGTCAGGAGACTAAAGCACTCACTAACGAATTTTAACAACGAAATTCAACGTGATAAAAGCGTGATTTTTTTAGAGAGAAAATATAGCATTCGAGTACAGTTTCCATATCAGTTCATATGCGATGTTTTCTCTCTAAAAAAAACCACGCCTTTATTACATTGAATTTCTTTGTTAAAATTCGTAAGTGAGTGCTTTAGTCTCCTGAAAACAGAATTGCCATCTCAAAATTGGTGAAAAATGACGAGTAGCTGAAAAAATGGAACCAATTGATGCGATATACCGCATGCCGTTCTGACACAAAATATGGCGTCCATCGAATCACCTTGACAATGTGAATCCATTTCTGTTTGGTTCCCGTATTTTAGGCTGCCAACTGTGACGTTTATTTGGTAGCAGTACATAGACTTTATTTGACTCCAAAGCTTGTATGTGTAGTAAGCTTTAAGTACTATAATATTACATAATTTGGTTAGTTGGTTAAATAGTTGCGACGAGTAGCAACCAGGCTATTTACGCTAGAGACCAGGAATTTACCTTAAATTTTAAAATTTACTTGTTTAAAGAGCGTTAAAATCTCAGTAGTTACTTTTGAATCATCAGAGCTTAAAGGTAGGGTGTTTGGGGGTAGGTAATTTTGAATTTTGATGCTTGTAGTATGAGCACGTCCCCAAGCATATAGTTAGTTAGTTAGTATATTTGACGTTGTAAATTTTCCTTTTGGTCTCCTTGGAGATACTCTGGTCCCAGAGAACCCCATTTAGCATCGCGATAGCTTTCCTGCCTTGCACATTCCGATCTTTAATGGCCCGATCCAAATTTCCGTCCTTAGTTATCCAAACTCCGAGATATTTATACTCTTCACAGTCCAGGATCTTCCGGCCATCCTCCAGTTCAATGCTTTGCTGATCACCACCGATAACCAACTTCTCCGTCTTAACCACATTTACTTCCATTCCCCACTTTCGGTATACTTCCACTAGCTTCCGCGTCATGTAATTCGCATCTTCTTCGTCCTGAGCTATTACCACCTGATCATCAGCAAAGCACAGAGTATAAAGGGTGCCATCTTCACGTAGCGGGACGCCCATTCCCGAACAGCATCTTTTCCATTCCTTTAAAACTTCTTCCAGGTACACTTTAAATAAGGTTGGCGACAAACAACACCCTTGTTTCAGTCCTTTAGTAATTAAAAACCCCAACGATAACTCCCCATGCGATTTAACCCTAGAGAAAGCCCCACCATAAAATTCACTAATTAGTCCCCCACTAAAACCCCTTTTGTTCAAGGCTTCCCAAAGTTTCATCAATGGCACACTATCGTAAGCTTTCTGGAGATCCACAAACACTAGATGTAATTCCTGGCCAACTCCCTTCTTTTTCAGAATTAGAAAGGAAAAAGAAGGAAAATTTACAACGTCATCGTGAAGAGTATCGTAACTTACGGGAGTGAGGTCTGGCAACTTAAGAAAAGAACTGAAGACATGCTTAGGGCAACCGAGATGGACTTTTGGCGAAGGTCTGCTGGGATATCGAGAAGAGAGCGTATCCGCAATGAAAGGGTACGCGAGATAATGGGTGTGGAAAAGGACATCGTGCACGATATCAGGTCCAAGCAGTTGGTCTGGTATGGACATGTGCGAAGGATGGCAGATGATCGGTTGCCCAAGCAGGTCTTCGATTGGGTTCCTCCCGGAAGGCGACGGCGTGGACGTCCTGTGAAAGGTTGGCGACAAGGGGTGGAGGAGGAGATCAGAAGGTGCCAATTGCCTGATGATCTCTGGGAGGTTAGGGGGCAATGGCGATTGGGCGTCGCAGAGCGCGAGGCGGCGCTATAATCGCGACTTTATGTATGTAGTTAGTATATTTTAAGACATGCAGCGTCTCAGGCTATTAACGTCTTTACAGATAATTTTGAAAATGGGAGTATATACGAAAATTTAGATTTTTAAATTAAGAGAGGTGAAGAGTTTCAGAATTTTGGTAGTAATATTGGGTTCATCTCATGTAAGTGGGTTTGTATTTCTGTTGATTGAAGGGGAGTAGATCTGTGAATGGAGATGTCGGAGGGCAGAGCAGTACAAATATATGTGTAAAGCAGTGTTCGGAACTCACAGGCGCCAACACGCCAACTGCGCCTAAGAAATCGGTCATGACGCCTAAAAAATGAAGGCTCTGCGCCAACGTGACCCCTAAAAATTGCCTCTTTCCCTCCCAAAAAAATCCTAATTTTTCCGTTTGGTGATTTTTCAAAATATCCCCCAAGTTACAGTTACTAGTTTTGTAACTAAAACATCTTGCGTCTAACTTTTCACCAAATGCGCCGTGATGTATAGACAAAAAGTAAATCTGGCCCCTAAAAAATCTTCAATGTCCCCTAAAAAATCTTCGGTGGCCCTTAAAAATCAAACTTGATGCGCCACATGGCTCCTGAAACTCTAAGGTGAGTTTTGAACACAAGTGGAAAGGTATATAAAGTGGGTCATATTTCCAAAATCTGAATTAAACGGGATCGTCATGGCAACGAAAAAAATATTCCAAACTTTAAAACTGCGAAGGATGATTCAATTTAATCAAACATCCAAGTACCTACTTCTTTATATAATTGAAAATTATTCTCTTTTTTTTGTAATTTTGAGTTAGGTGAAAGTTTTTTTTTGTTCTACTTCCTTTTACATCATCGATTAGCGCCAATCTGAGCTTTAAATTAGTTCGGAAAAAGGTCATTTAAATTATTTTTACGTAATTCATGATAAATATTTTATGTTTTTAATTTAAAATGCTCCCATTTTTCTATGTTACTGGTTGATTTTCCATTGAATTTTATTGAAATTAATAAAAAGCCTTTTCTCGCTTAATCAATAAATTTTCTATCATTCCTTATGTATCGCTTTTCTATTTCACGCCAATATTGTTTACTGGCTTAAATTTACCGTGTCCCATTGCATTAGCTGATATTATTTTAGGTTACTGTAATTGAACTTATCTCGAGTGCTGTCTCTGTAGAAGTGCCCCTTTCTCGTTGAAATAAAAAATTATGCTGAAAATAAAATAAAAAACCAATATCATCAAAAAACTTTTCTCCTGGGCACGTCAAATGCAACACTAATGGAATTGCAATTAACAACTTGTTTAATTAGGGTTGAGGTACACGAGGAGCAGCATTTTTTCCAGACTCACTTCACCGTACCATGTTTTAAAAACCTCGCGCTGGAGCTCATTCCAATATCAAATGTTTTTTTTCGGCACAGCGGACAAACCTTACTTCAGAATCAGAAATGGATCAGTTCCCTGGTAAAATTTGACAGTAGAAACTGTGTTCCAAAATACTATAGACCTACAGCCGGCTGTAAGATTTCCAATAGCTTCTATAGCCGGCTACACAATTTCTTATAGCCTTTTATAGCCGATGGCGATTAAGCAACTCACAGCCAGGCGATAAAGTGTATGCTAAACGTCACTAATTACGGATGCTAGGGCTTGGCGAGTTTTTGGACCACTGCTCTCTCTTTTTGGGCCGTAGTATCTTGATTTATTTTGCGAGGAAAGCTCCGTACTTTTGATGGATGCCTGCCATTCTTAATATATTAGAGCGCCTTCAGTTTCGTATGATTCTGTGCAATACCTCTGGTGTGAAATAGTTGCTTCAAGCGCCGTGGCACGATGTGGCGCGGCAGGCGGGCAGCCAGCGCAAAACGCGCACTGGCGCCTACAAACCTACTTCACCGCCTACTTCACGCGTTTCGCAATGCGTGAAGTATCCCTGTTGGGTTTGTAGGCGCCAGTGCGTCGCCGCTCCGCTTTGTGTTAGTTTCTAATATTTAATCTGGGGGAGTCAGCGTAATTCAACTCATGATTTTGAAATGTTTGCACATCCTGTATGGATTATTCTCATTTTAATTGATGAAAAAAAATATGTTTGAAAGGAAAATATAATGTGTGTTTTGTAAATATTAAGGTGGTTCCGCATCAAACTTAATGATTTCCAAAGCACACGAATTTCTTCACAAATTCTTCTAGCTTTTTATAATCGACGGCGAAAAAGTAACAGCCAAGCGATGAAGTGTAAAGCTCGGCGATAGGAACTACAGCCCGGCTGCATACTTTTTTATCGCTTCGTATAGCCCGGCCGTATGATTTTCTCCGCATTCTAGCCAGCTATGATTTTCTGTAGCCCTCTTTAGCCAGCTATAAGAATTCCTATGGTATTTTGAAACGCAGCTTTATCGCCAATTTTTACCAGGGTTGCGCTGGTCACAGAATAATATTTTAATGCTTGGTTCTTTTAGATTACTGCCGTACTGAGGAAAAACGCCGTATGAACCTTCAGGCGCTGCCAAATTTCTTTTGATAAAACACAAATTATCTGGTAAACTGATGAATATTTGTCTTCCAATTTTTCAGATAATTTTGTTTGCAAT